CAGGAGCCACTGCTCCCCACCTAGCCATCCTGTTTCTTCCACTTGTGAGAAAGCCCATACTCTTTTTTTTTTTTTTTGAGACGGAGTTTCGCTCTTGTTACCCAGGCTGGAGTGCAATGGTGCCTTCTCGGCTTACCACAACCTCCGCCTCCTGGGTTCAAGCAATTCTCCTGCCTCAGCCTCCCGAGTAGTTCGGACTACAGGCATGCGCCACCATGCCCAGGTAATTTTTTTGTATTTTTAGTAGAGACGGGGTTTCACCATGTTGACCAGGATGGTCTCGATCTCTTTTTTTTTTTTTGAGACGGAGTTTCACTCTTGTTACCCAGGCTGGAGTGCAATGGCGCGATCTCGGCTCACCACAACCTCCGCCTCCTGGGTTCAGGCAATTCTCCTGCCTCAGCCTCCTGAGTAGCTGGGATTACAGGCACGCGCCACCATGCCCAGCCAATTTTTTTGTATTTTTAGTAGAGATGGGGTTTCACCATGTTGACCAGGATGGTCTCGATCTCTTGACCTCGTGATCCACCCGCCTTGGCCTGGTCTCGATCTCTTGACCTCGTGATCCACCCACCTCGGCCTCCCAAAGTGCTGGGATTACAGGCGTGAGCCACCACGCCTGGCCCAAGAAAACCCATATTCTTACTGCTCACCAGACTCATGAAGTATGAACATCCTACCCCATCCCCACCTTGCTCACATAGCCTCAGAGTCTCCCTGTACTCCTCCCCTGCTGATTTACACTCTGCATCACTGCACTGTCCTCCCCTACACCAGCCCACACTTCATCCATTGAGAGAAATCAGTTTGCATTTTTCTACCTCAGCCTTCAGAAGAGATGTGGCCTGAAATATACAGTCCCCCATTAGATTAGATGTAATAACTGGAAAGGGCCAGGCCCATTAGTTCGTGGTCTCTTCCAAAAATACAAAAAATTATCTGGGCATAGTGGCATACTCCTGTCATCGCAGCTACTCACGAGGCTGAGGCACAAGAATTGCTTGAACCTGGGAGGCAGAGGTTGCCAAGAGCCAAGATTGAACTATAGCAAGACTGTGTCTCGAATAAGTGAATGAATGAATGTAAAGATTACAAAAAAGGTCTTGATCACTCTATGAAAACAAGAGATCAGGAGGGCAAGGATATATCACTGCTTACTGCATTCCTGCATTGTCTGTGCTCCCTTCATTCCAACTCTTAAACCAGCTAAGTATATTATGTGGGCCAAAGACATTGGGGGTACTCACAAACTGCTGGTTACAATTCCACGCTCATTGCTGGTTGTATTTTGTTCTTTTGAGACGGAGTTTTGCATTGTGGCCTGGGCTGGAGTCCAGTGGTGCAATCTCAGCTCTCTGCATCTCCATCTCCCAGGTTCAAGCAATTCTCCTGCCTCAGCCTCCTGAGTAGCTGGGATTACAGGCCCCCACCACCACACCCAACTAAATTTTTTTTTGTATTTTTAGTAGAGAAAGGGTTTTACTATGTTGGCCGGGCTGGTCTTGAACTCCTGACCTCATGATCCAACCGCCTCAGCCTCTCAAAGTGTTGGGATTACAGGCGTGAGCCACTGCACCCAGCTCATTGCTGTTCTTAGCTCCCTAATTGATGGTGAGCTGAGGGCAGAACTGTCATCTTCACGTCTGCATCCAGTAGCAGTAATAAGACAATGGACATCCAGAAATGGTCTCCCATTGGGGATTTTACAGGGGAAATGCTATTGCCTGCTCAACTAGGCTGTGAAGCAGTAGCTTCACATGTGTTTCTACAATAGCCATCCCCTAGTTGGAGCTATCTGGAGTTCCTTGTCAGGTTCTGTTTGGTCCTGTTTGGGATGGCTCAGCAGCCATTCTGTTTTACTTCAAGAGGCTTGGGAGAATTAATTACTCTCTCTATATATTACATATTATATATAGAGTTTTCACTCTGTTGCCCAGGCTGGAGTGCAGTGGAGCAATCTTGGCTCACTGCAGCGTCTCCACCTCCATATTCAAGCGATTCTCCTGCCTCAGCCTTCTGAATAGCTGGGATTACAGGCATCTACCACAATGCCTGGCTAGTTTTTGTATTTTTAGTAGAGATGGAGTTTCACCATGTTGTCCAGGCTGGTCTAAACTCCTGACCTCAAGTGATCCACCCACCTCAGCCTCCCAAATTGCTGGAATTACAGGCGTGAGACACCAAACCTGGTCCTGAGTTTTGACTCTTCTAAGCTTAGAGTTTATGTTTGGTACTTGTTCTCTCTTGCTCCAGATTCTGCCTGATCAATGCAGGAGTCCTGTACCTCTACTTCAGTAATTACCTACAGATTGATGAGGAAGAATATGGCGGCACGTGGGAGCTCACGAAGGAAGGGTTTATGACCTCTTTTGCCTTGTTCATGGTATGTGTAGCTGATAGTTTGACAACAGGTAGTGTTCATTTCATGAGGTGTCACTCACAAGAAGGGAGTTCACTGATTGAGTTACACTATGTGATCAGGGTGCTATTTTTCTAAAGGCTTAGGCCATGGCCTATGTTGAACCATATCCCAGAAGATGTGGTGTGATACACTATATAGTTCTTTAATGTGTAAATCCAGGACCCATCGTTAGCTTCTACATCTGATTCTCAACCCTGGCTACATATTAGAAACTAAGAGAGCCAGCCAGGTGCAGTGACTCATGCCTGTAATCCCAGCACTTTGGGAGGCCAAGGTGGGTGGATCACAAGGACAGGAGATCAAGACTATCCTGGCTAACATTGTGAAACCCTGTGTCTACTAAAAATACAGAAAATTAGCCAAGGGTGGTGGCACACCCCTATAGTCCCAGCTACTCCAGAGGCTAAGGCAGGAGAATCGCTTGAACTGGGAGGCAGAGGTTGCAGTGAGCTGAGATCTTGCCACTGCACTCCATTCTGGGCGACAGAATGGACTCTGTCTCAAAAAGAAAAGAAACAGAAACTAGGAGAGCCTGGTGTGGTGGCTTACGCCTGTAATCCCAGCACTTTGGGAGGTAGAAGCAGGCGGATCACCTGAGGTCAGGAGTTCAAGACCAGTCTGGCCAACATGGTGAAACTCTGTCTCTACTAAAAATACAGAAAATTATTTGGGCTAGCTGGGCATGGTGGCAGGCACCTGTAATCCCAGCTGGGGAGGCTGAGGCAGGAGAATCGCTTGAACCTGGGAGGTGGAGGTTGCAGTGAGCTGAGATCATGCCCTTGCACTCCAGCCTGGGCAACAAGAGTAAAACTCCAACTGAAAAAAAAAAGAAACTAGGAAAAAGTTTTCATAATAGCTAAAAAGTACAAACAATCCAGATGGCCATCACTTGATGAATGGATAAATAAGATACTATATATCCATACAACAGAATGTTATTTGGCCTTAAAAGGGAATGAAGTACTGATAAGTGCTATATAAAACAGATGAACCTTGAAACATTATGCTAAGTGGAAGAATCCAGACACAAAAAAACACATATTGTGTGATGCCATAGGCAAAACATCCACAGTGAGCAAATCTATAGAGGCAAAAAGTAGATTAGTGGTTGCCAGTGGCTGGGATGAAGGGGAAGGAGAGTAGCTGATAAAGGAAACAGGCTCTTTTTGGAGTAATGTTTTGGAATTAGTGGTGATGTTTGCACAACTGTGTCCACACAGAAAACCTCTGAAATGTGCACTTTATTTGACCCAAGGTCTCACTGTTTCACCCAGGTTGGAGTGCAGTGGCGCTATCTTGGCTCTCTGCAACCTCTGCCTCTCTGGTTTAAGCAATTCTCCTGCCTCAGGCCTCCTGAGTAGCTGGGACTACAGGTGCAAGCCACCATGCCCAGCTAATTTTTTTTTTTTTATTTTTTTTTTTTTTTAGTAGATATGAGGTTTCACCATGTTGGCCAAGCTGGTCTTGAACTCCTGACCTCAAGTGATCCGCTTTCTTCAGCCTCCCAAAGGGCTGGGACTATAGGCATGAGCCACCATGCCTGGCTTTTTTTTTTTTTTTTTTTTTTTGTATTTTTAGTTGAAACAAGGTTTCACCATGTTAGCCAGGCTGGTTTTGAACTCCTGACCTTAAGTGATCTGCCTGCTTCTGCCTACCAAAATGCTGGGATTACAGGTGTGAGCCACCGCATCTGACTCATTTTTCTTTTTTTAATTATACTCATGGCCTGGCATGATGGCTCATGCTTGTAATTACAGCACTTCAGGAGGCTGAGGCAGGCAAACTGCTTGAGTCCAGGAGTTTGAGACCAGCCTGGGCAACATGGTGAAACCCATCTCTACAGGAAAAAAAAAAAATTAGTCAGGTGTGGTGGTATGCGCCTGTTGAATCCCAGCAGGACTCAAAAAGAAAAAAAAAACACCTTATGTGTCCAGACTCTAACCCAAGCCAATAAAATCTTTCACACGGGTAGTTGTAGCACCTGCTAGCAGTGTAGTGTGCTTTACTTGAATCATTTCCACATCTGAACCTCAACTCCCTGGGCCTGGGGTTGCCATTTGGTAGGGGAGGAGCTTTTCAAGTGCAGGTGGACAGTCCTGGGCTCTGTTAGTGACAGCTTGATTTCATTGAAATAATTTAAACCCCTCAAGCAGACTGTGCAATGAATAGCCCCTGGAGAGCACCCTGTGAATACATTCTCATCTGGCATTTTTGTTTTGTGGAATCGGCCTGTGTTAACCCAGGTGACCTATGAACCATGCTTGTCTCCTCACTAGGTCATTTGGATCATCTTTTACACTGCCATCCATTATGACTGATGATGTACAGCTCCCACCTGCTCCCTGTCCAGTCCAAAGGACCCTCTTGATAACAGCACAGAAACTTGATCACTGGGGAACCCTAGCCCCTTGGAACTTGGAAGACCCGTGTTTCCTGGACCGCGAATCAGTGTATTGGGTGTCAGTGTTTTCTGCAAGGGTTGTGACCTGAAACTTTTTAAAAAACCACCCACCTTTGGGGAAGCATTTCTGAATTTATCCATCACCATTTCTTCTTGGATACCATCAAGTAACAGCTGTTTGCCAAGCGGAGCTGTCATTTAATTTGATGCACTTCCGGATTCAGATGAAACATTAAATTGTCTTCCTCGATTCTCCATCAGCTGTACAGTTTTTAAACTATCAGTGGCATTTCAAGTCTTCTGAAACAGCATGGCTGTATGTGCATGGTCCATAGCACAGTACAGGCAGCATCTAACAACAGTTTCCATTGTAGAATGTTTTCAGATACTTGAATAAATCAGATCTTTAATTGAGAACCTGTTGATGATACCTGAAAAAGCCTTTTCCATACCACCTGTAGCTTGGGAACCCAGTAGGAGCACTAGAGGTGGTGCCTCCCACCCTTGTCCCTCTTTCTTCCTCTCCCTGTTCCCTTAGCAGATCCAGCAGACCTCTTGCTCTTCATGGGAGCAGTAGGAAAATCAAGGGCTACGTTTGGTGTAGGCTATGGCCTCGGTCTTGGCATTGTGGAGAGAGGTCTTAGCATCTTCTGATGCCCCTGCCCAGCACTGAGAAAGGTGGCCTCTCTGCAGTGTGCTAGACCTAAGAGGTGTTATTTTGTATTTGGCTCAAGATAGCAAGGCCAGTGTGTTAGGGAATGGTAAGCCACAAAATGAAATACAAATCTTAGAGCTAAGCTGGATGCAGTGGCTCACACCTATAATCCCAGCGCTTGGGGAGGACAAGGCGGACAGCTCAATTGAGGTCAGGAGTTCAAAACCATCGTGGCCAACATGGTGAAAACCTGTCTCTACTAAAAATGCAAAAAAAATTAGCTAGGCATGGTGGCGTGGGCCTGTAATCCCAGCTACTCAGGAGGCTGAGGCAGGAGAATTGCTTGAACCCAGGAGACAGAGGTTGCAGTGAGCCAAGATCACGCCATTGCATTCTAGCCTGGGCAACAGAGCAGGACCCCGTCTCAAAAAAAAAAAAAATCAGTGCTGGAGCTGTTTTCCTCAGTGGGGGATATTTGAAGACCTAGACTGTCAGAAGTCTTTCCCTTTGCTCTGGGGGTCACGTAGAATCTGGATCACCCAAGGTCTGCCGCTATGGTAAGACATCATCTCAGCTTTCTCTTCTAGGCCACAGTCTGACCTGCTGCAGTGTGGTGGTGGTCTCAACGGCACTTGTAAATTTTCTGAAAATGATTTTTTCACTGATGCTAGGGGTTGTTTCTACTTTGCAGGTGGGGCCTGCTTAATGGTGGGGATGTGGAATGGGACTCAACAGGCAGGGCATCCAAATGGTACTGGCAACCCCAAACTCAAGAACTGGCTGGGTCACACCTCCAGGAGGCTTACTCTCTTTTTGGAACCCTGGCCCTGCTCCCAGCTTTTCTGCACTCAGACTAGAGGTTGCAGGTGGGATCACAGCACAGGGAAGAGGTAGGTGACTTCCTAAGGCCAAGGGAGGAAAGAGCAAGGTATGGGTCGGACCCTGGATGCCCCTCTGTGTCCCAGCCCTCCCTCACTGAGTGCACAGCCTTGCCTCTAGCATGCTCAGGAGGTTGGGCTGAATTGGGGTTTTAGGTGCTACAGCCTTGGTTTCCCTTTCTGCCTCTCCTTTGGGCCTAGGCATCATCCAAAGAGACAGCCTCCTCAGTCAGGCTGATGTAGGAGCTAAGTGACTCCCGGAGACCCTCACTGAGAAGAGATTCCTCCCCTGTGGCAGCTTCAGAAAACAGGAGGGAGCTGTGGACAAAGGAAGAGAACTGGGTCAAGAAGCCTCTTTCTCCTCCCTGCATTCACTACACAAAAGTGCACTGTTCTCAAAACCTCTCACTCCTGCTGAATACCTCACAGGGCTCCCCTGTTCCCTCTCAGATCAGCTCCCCCAGCCCCACCTGCTGAGCCTGGGCTGGGCTCCAGGAATTAAGTCAGTGCCCTCTGGCTCTGGCTCCCAGGTATCCCTGAGTATGACAGGTGCATTCTGGGTTGTGGGTTCCCAGGGGTGGGTCCTTCTAACTCTTGGTCCCACTTTCATGTTTACAGGAGTTCCCCCACTTTACCTGTCCAACTCTTTCCAGTTGAGTGGTGTCCTCTGCACAGTCATAGGTAGGGGCATGTCCTTGCCAGGGAGTGGCCTAGTCCTCTGCAGGACACAGGGCTCCTTGAGGAGGCAGCAGATGTCTTCCGCCAGCTCTGAGGAAGAGACCCCCATCCCTGACATGGCCGACTCACCCTGCTTCTCCCCAACAGCCCTCACCCTGACAGCCCTTTACATGTGGCAGGAGGGGGCATAGCTACCAAAGAGGGACAGGACATGAGCCCCAAGCTGTTGCTTTCGTGGAGACAGGTAACAGTCAAAGGTCTTTCTCGGCTAATTTTGGGGGACAATCCACTGTATGATTGAGGGTGAATCAATGGACCTCTTGAGCCCAAGTTCTGGTTAGGAAAGTGCTTTGGGAAGGAAAAAGCTAAGGAATGCCCAGTTTCTACTTCCACTGCCAGTGCCTGCTCCCGCAGGGAGTGGCCTGCAGAAAACCCCCCCCATGAGTTTGCCCAGGAGTGCTCTTCACTCTCTGTCCCCTGATGCTGTGCCCAGTGACTGCATCTTCTAGTGTCTATAAAAGGACAGGATCAGGAAGTGCTAAGGAGAGTCAGGATCAAATCCCACACAGCAGCAGCTCTGGGCCTGGTTCCCGTGGAGAGAACTCCTGCTGCCAGGGGCTCTGAATCAGAACCGGAGTGGTAGGCAAGGTACTGACCCGAGCCTACAGAGGAGATCTGTGGCTTTTCTGCCAGGGCATGAAGTAAAGACAGGGCTCCCAGCCTGCATTTCTTGGCACAGAAAATGGGCCTGGCATGAAAATAGGGGAGGCCTCTCTTCTGTTTATTTGAATACTCCATAGCATGTATATTATACAAGAGCACTACTGCCTGCTCCTCTCCATAGACTATCCTAGCCTACTGGAGGCAGAGAAAGGCCATACCAGAGTAATGGTCCACCAGGGCCTGGAGTGAGGGGAAGGTGAGGCGCGGTGAGATGTACAGCCAGCCATTGTCAAGACATTGGATCCTGTAGTGTCTGATCCGGTCCCAGGAAGCAGGGCGGCTGAGGCGGACTGACAGAGAGTAACAGCCTGCGGAGAGAGGGGTCCAGGGTGGCACCAAGGCCCTGCTGGGACTCAACGCCACCCGGGTTGGGAAACAAAGATAGGAAACATGGCCATAGGGCCCCAGCAGAAGGGAAGTGTCTGGGGCAGAAGCAGGATAAAGACTTGCTCTCTTGGTCATCAATAACACATTCATAATAGATGGGGATCTTGTGAGGGTGAAATCATACACACACACAGCCCTCAGCACAGAGTCTGGCACCGTGTACTTGAACATTCAGTGTTGGCTATTCTTTTTTTTTTTTTTTTTTTGAGACGGAGTTTCACTCCTGTTACCCAGGCTAGAGTGCAATGGCACGATCTCGGCTCACTGCAACCTCCGCCTCCTGGGTTCAGGCTATTGTCCTGCCTCAGCCTCCTGAGTAGCTCGGATAACAGGCATGTGCCACCATGCCCAGCTAATTTTTTGTAATTTTAGTAGAGATGGGGTTTCACCATGTTGACCAGGATGGTCTCGATCTCCTGACCTCGTGATCCACCTGCCTCGGCCTCCCAAAGTGCTGAGATTACAGGCATGAGCCACTGTGCTCAGCCTACTTTTATTTTTTATTGTTTTTATTTTTATTATTAATTTTAGCAATTATAGTGGACAATAGCAATCAAATTGCAGACCCATGAAAGGGGCAGTTTTGGTAGAAGAAGCTTAAGCAGTCCCTATGGTGGTGCTTATGGATCTGGTGTTGAAAATGGTAGCTATAGGCCAGGCATGGTGGCTCACGCCTGTAATCCTAACACTTTGGGAGGCTGAGGTGGGTGGATCATGAGGTCAGGAGTTTGAGCCCAGCCTGGCCAAAGTGGTAAAACCCTGTCTCTACTAAAAATACAAAAATTAGCTGGGCGCAGTGGCAAGCGCCTGTAGTCCCAGCTACTTCGGAGACTGAGGCAGGAGAATCGCTTGAACCTGGGAGGCAGAGGTTGCAGTGAACTGAGACTGTGCCACTGCACTCTAACCTGGGTGACGGAGTAAGACTCCATCTCAAAAAAATAAGACCTGAACATCACTTGATTAATGATGAGGATATATAAGATTAAAATTTATTTTAAAAATAAAAACTGGGCCAGGCACGGTGGCTCAGATGTGTGATCCCAGCACTTTGGGAGGCCGAGGCTAGTGGATCACCTGAGGTAGGGAGTTCAAGACCAGCCTTACTAACATGGAGAAACCTCATCTCTACTAAAAATACAAAATTAGCCAGGCGTGGTGATGTATGCCTATAATCCCAGCTACTTGGGAGGCTGGGGCAGGAGAATCACTTAAACCCAGGAGGTGAATGTTGCAGTGAGCTGAGATCGCACCACTGCACTCCTGCCTGGGCAACAGAGTGAGATTCTGTCTCAAACAACAACAACAACAACAACAAAACTATGATCACCTGAAAAAATGCAGAAAAACCATTTGACAAAATTAAATACCCTTCATGATTAAAAAAACAAAAGCAGAAAACGATGAATAGAGTGTGTTAGTTTCCTATTGCTGCTGTAACAAGTTACCATCAATTTAGCAGCTTAAAATAACATGAAGTATTCTTTTCCAGTTCTGGAGGTTAGAAGTCTGAAATGAGTTTCACTGGACAAAAATCAAGATGTCAGCGGGGCAGTGTTCCTTTTGCAGGCCCTAGAGAAGAACCTATTCTCTTCTTTTTGTTTCTAGAAGCCATAGGCATCCCTCTGCTCATGGCTCCTTCCTCAGTCTCCACAGCCAGTAGCATCTTCCTGCCTCTAACTCTAACCTTCCTGCCTCCCTCTCATAAGCATCCTGGTGATTATACTGGGACCAACTGGACAATCCAAAATAATCTTCCCACCTCAAACTCCTTAATTACATCTGCAAACTCTTTTTGCGATGTAAGGTAACATATTCACAGGCGCTACGGATTAGGACCTGAACATTGTTGGGGGATGATTATTCTGTCCACCGTGGAAGAATACCTGATATAGAATATCTGTGAAAAATCTACAACTAAGGCCAGGTGCAGTGGCTCACCCTTGTGATCCCAACACTTTGAGAGGCTGAGGCAGGCAGATCACCTGAGGCCAGGAGTTGGAGACTAGCCTGGCCAACATGGTAAAACCCCATCTCTACAAAAAAAGAAAAATTAGCTGGGCAAGGTGGTGTGCACCTATAATCTCAGCTACTTAGGAGGCTGAGGCAGGAGTATTGTTTGAGCCCAGGAGGCAGAGGTTGCAGTGAGCTGAGATTGGGCCACTGCACTCCAGCCTGGGCGACAGAGCAACATTATGTCTGAAACAAAACAAATCTACAACTCACATACTTAATGGAAAAGATTGATTATTTTCCTTCTAAGATTGGGAACAAAGCAATAATGTTCTTACCATTCGTACTCAATGTTGTACTAAAGGTTCTAACAAGTGCAAGAAAAAGAAAAGAAAAAGAAACAAAGTATATGAACTGGAAAAGACACAATACAACTGCCTTTACTTACAGATAATACAATCATATGTAGATAATACTAAGGAATCTGTCAAAAAGCTACTAGAACTAAAAAGTTAATTTAACAAGGTGACCCAAAGTCAATATGCTTTGAGAAGATACTGACACCAGTAGGATCTCAGTTATTTCTGCCTGATTGGGAGCCCTCTGACCTTTGAATTTTTTTTTTTTTTTTTTTTTTTTTGCCACAGAGTTTCGCTCTTATTGCCCAGGCTGGAGTGCAATGGCGCAATCTCGGCTCACCATAACCTCCACTTCCTGAGTTCAAGCGATTCTCCTGCCTCAGCCTCCCGAGTAGCTGGGATTATAGGCACCCGCCACCAAACCTAATTTTGTATTTTTAGTAGAGACAGGGTTTCTTGTTGGTCAGGCTGGTCTTGAACTCCCAACCTTGGGCGATCCACCCGCCTCGGCCTCCCAAAGTGCTGGGATTATAGGTGTGTGCCACTGTGCCTGGCCTTTAAAAAATTTTTTTTTAGAGACAGTTTGACTAAGTTGCTCAGGCAGGCCTCAAAATCCTGGGCTCATGTGATCCTGTTGCCTCAGCCTCCCAAGTAGCTAGGACATAGGTGTACACGACAATGCCGGCTTGTATTCTATACCTTTGAGAAGAGTCTGTTCTTGAGCTGAGCTGTAACCCTGAAAAACGCTGGTTGGGAATGGGCTAAATATTTGAAAATAGGCCCAGAAGGCCAACCAACCCAGCTGAATTAGTGACCAAGACCTTATATCTTTTGCAAGGTTCTTCAGCCACCCTACCCTGGCCACTGTCACAACAGTTATTAGAATCAGAAAGGGTAGCTACACTTGGGATCTGGTTGTTGATCTCAGGGATAAGAGGTCCTCAGGAGGCATCCATACTTGATTGGTTCCTTTCTCTCAGCCTCACATCCAACCCAACAAAAAGCCCTATTTGGTATGTTCAGACCAGAGCCAAAAGCCTACCACTTCTCACCTGGACAGAGCCTGCTACCGCTTCCTGCGAGGCTTCCTCTCTTTGTAGCAGGTCAGGGGTCGGGTCGTCTCACTACCCTACTCAGAATCCTCCCTGTCACACTTTGTGGGAGGCTGTGAGCAGCAGGCCAAATCCTGGGGCCAAGAGAGCCCAGGTGCCGCTTGTGGAAGGCTCAAGTCCTGATGATTCAGGTCCAGCCCGTGGACGGCACGAGGCGGCACGAGGCTGGTAGCGGCACGAGGCACACCTGGCCGCAATTTCCCAACTGCAAGCTTCCTTTGCCCCGCCCCCCTGCCTGGCCTATTTAAGCTGTGAGCTCAGCAACAATAAACGAGACTTGATCAGACTCCTGTCTTGTCTCCATTTCTCGCGTCTCCTGCCCATCCATCCCCACTCCCTCCCTTCGGGCCCTTGTTGTCGTCCTGCAGGTCGGGACAACACTTAAAATCAATCCCAAGTCCTCTCCCTGGAAAGGCTCTGTGTGACCTGACTCCCAACGCCCCCCTCCCCTCGTCCCTTCTCCCATAGTTTCCTGCTGAGGACGTGCCTCCCTGAGGCCTGTGCTCACACACTCACGCCCTGGCACTCCGTATCCTCTACAACACTGCTTTATTTCCTCTTGGCACTTATCACTCTCACACTCTGTCTTATTTACTCACTGTCCACCTTGCCAACTAGATTGTGGGAAGGAATCTTGCTTTTCATACTGCAAAGTCTCTAGTGTTTTGAACAGTGCCTGGCACTGTCAACACAGTATGCATTTGTTGAATGACTGAAACTCTGTAATAAACACTTGGACAGAGCATGATTATAAGCAGTTTTAAGGAAAGCTCATCACTATTTGCACTTTTACTGTCTGTGGGCACAGATGGTGTTGAGATTGATTCTTTTTTTTTTGAGACGGAGTTTCGCTCTTGTTACCCAGGCTGGAGTGCAATGGTGCGATCTTGGCTCACCGCAACCTCCGCCTCCTGGGTTCAGGCAATTCTCCTGCCTCAGCCTCCTGAGTAGCTGGGATTACAGGCACGCACCACCATGTCCAGCTAATTTTTTGCACCTTTAGTAGAGATGGGGTTTCACCATGTTGACCAGGATGGTCTCGATCTCTTGACCTCGTGATCCACCCGCCTCGGCCTCCCAAAGTGCTGGGATTACAGGCTTGAGCCACTGCGCCCGGCCCGAGATTGATTCTTGAAGGTTTATCATTGCATGGTTTGCATCAAACACATATTGAGCATTTACTAAGCCCTACCCAGACTTAGGCACAGAAGGCCCACCCAGAGCCATCCCTTAGCTGAAGATGGAGTGCTGTGGGGTACACAGGTCCAGCTGACTGACTGGGGACCAAGGCACTAGGAGTGATGGGGAGGTTACTTTGGTTCTGCCCTTGGCAGTCTGATGCTAAAAATAGCCTGAATCTTCCTATTTGGAGCGGGCCATCTTCCCAAGCTCTTCATCCTCTCTCCGCCTCTCAACATGCACAGGTGTGCTCACCTGCTCATTCATTTATTCAATAAACATCCACTGAGCACCCACTACATGCCTGACACCGCTCTAGGC